GGCACGTACCTAGCTCAGTGAACAATCTGAAGCAATGGCAGTGAGACTATCCCCAAAACCAAACATGGCAATTTTCTCTAATTTACCATCATAATCACATTGACTCAATAATGATACTCACATTTCTTCATCTCATACATGCTGTATTTTAGTGTCCTTAACATGGAAGATTATTGTTTTTTGAAGAATGAAGTCTTCCCTGCAACAGGTGGTTTATCTGGGGCTCATCTGACATTTCCTGATTAGATTCAAGTTATGCATTCCTGTAATACTGTATAGTGATAGTGTGCCCACAGAATATGGTATCTAGAGGCACAGGTGCCTATATGTCTATCAATAGTGATGGCAGTTTGGGTCAAAGTCTAATCTGGGTCTTTTTTTCCTTCAGTGTAGTGCATCATATTTCTCTCCTTGCAACTAATAACCAATCTTGGGGATGTAAATAAAAAAAAATTGTTTTCATAACTCAAGTCTCATTCACTACTAATATGTAATAACTCTTGTGTCAAACCAAACATACCTTGATGGCTGCAAAAATGATTTCCCAACTCCAGCAATATACTAGTCAGCAGAACATCCTGTCTCTCCCTTTACATATCTACCCATCTACTCATTATCAGTGCGATTTACTCTCATCATTGTCCTTATTTCAGTGCTCTAAGTCACTGAGTTGGCTGGTCGAATCCTCTTGTACTGGTTCCTAAGTCTTTTGGATATGCCCTCATTTATTTTTAAGTTCTTTACTTTCTGACATACTTTACACATTCCAGGCTCATCCACAGTAATCCAGCCTGAAATTAATTTCTTCTCCAACGAAGTTTAGTTCTTTTAGTGGAAAGATGGCATTAAGATGGCATTAAAAATCCCAAGACAATCTCAGTGTTTGGTGCAGTATGCTTTTGTTCTCTTCTTTTTGCCCCCTTTTAAAGTGTTTTTGTCACATTCCCCCCCCCCCAATTCTTTAAATGCAATAATTTACCCTTTATCTGTATATACAGCAATTTTTAATTTTTTTTGGTGTGGGGGAATCAAACTCAGGGCCTTGCATATATTGAACACATACTCTACCAATGACCTATTATAATACTACCAGTATTTCTTTCATTGCACCTTATTAATCAATTTAGCAAAATTTTCCGTAAATGATGGCTCAGAAAAATCCACGCAACTTTTCTTGTATTTGTATAGTTTTGTTAAAAAATTTCAGACCCATTTGAAGTTTGCTCTTATGTATGATGAAAAGAGTATTTCTAATATCATTTCTTCCCAAATGGCTATCTAGTTGTGGCAATATTCTTTATTGAAGGCATGCCCAACATTACCTCTTACTTGAAATTTCACTTGTGAAACTTCCCAAGTTCTAGTTTTCTGCATGTGTTATGTCCATTTTTGGACTTTATCCTACAGTCGTGTGTCATTTGGTGATAGAGACATGTTCTAAGAAATCCAATGCTGGGTAATTTACTGTTGAGCAAACATTACTATGTATACTTACATGAACCTAGAGAGTACAGCTTACACACCTAGGCTGTATTGTATAGCTTATTCCTATGCCAAAGTGGTCTTGCTAGATTGTTTTGTCAACTAATTCTTGCTCACAATCAGCTTACGTGGAATTTCTGTAAGTTCTTCAGCTGCCTTATATAAACATTTACATACTCACTGCTCACTTTCACATTATGTGAAGTAATGAATCCTTAACCCACTCAAGAGTTAGCAGTAAATTAAACACTGTGGTAAGATTCAGCCTTTTCAATATCACAAACTTTTTGCTTTGGCTACTGACTATCATAGTGCCTAAGGATGTGCTTCTGTGTTATCTTCAGTATAGGTCATTGAAAGTTTTTCCAAGTCTGATACAGAATCTTCTCAAATTTTAGTCTTATTGTATCCTATAAAGGAGATTTTTTAACACCTTTACTCTTGTTCTTTAAAACAATACATTACAAGACTGTAACAAGCACAAGAATGACCTGATCAAGAAATGGAATAAACACAAAATGTAGGAGTCGGCTCCCAATTTAAGAATGATCTATCTATCTATCTATCTATCTATCTATCTATCTATCTATCTATCTATCTATCTAGTTGGTCCTGGGCACTGTCCCAAGTTTGTTTATTCTGCTCAATGACAGCGCTCTATCACTTGAACCACAGGTCTACTTTTTGTTGTTGTTGTTTTAAATAACTTCAGGGCTAGGAATGTGGCTCAGTGGTAGAGTGCTTGCCTAGCATGCATGAAGCCCTGGGTTTGATTCCTCAGTACCACATAAACAGAAAAAGCCAGAAGTGGCACTGTGAAGCTCAGGGACAGTGCCTAGGCCCTGAGTTCAAGCCCCAGCACTGACCAAAACCAAACCAAACAAAAACAAAACAAAAACACAAAAAAATCCCACCAAAACAAAAAAAAACAAACGAAAAACAAACAAAAAACCAAAAACACCCAATTTTTTATGTGGTACTGAGGAATCAAACCCAGGGCCTCATGTATGCTAGGCAAACACTCTACCATTAAGTCACATTCCTAGCCCCCACTTCTGGCTTTTTTTAGTGCTTAACTTTCACTAACCTGAGCTGGCTTTGAACTAAAATCCTATTTCTGCCTCCAGAGTAGCTAGAATTATAGCTGTGAACCACTGGAACCAGCTAGTAGCTAACCTTTTAAAAACTGAGGCATACTTGTGAATTAAAAACTTCTATTCACAGAATTAGTATTATGTATTATTTAAGTTCTATCAGCATTTGTACAAAGAGATTAAGAATGCCTTATCCAAAATGCTTTGGCAAAGAAGTATCTGAATTCTTTAGATGTATATTTTTAAAAGTGTGATTGCTGTGCCAGGCACAGGTGGCTTACACTTGCAATGCTAGCTACTCAGGAGGCTGAGATCTGAGGATCGGGATTCAAAGCCAGCCTGGGCAAGGAAAGTCCAGGAAGACAAAAAAAGAAAAAAAAAAAGAAAAAAGAAAAAAAAAGTGTGATTGCTGGATCTTATGATGCTGGATGAATATCCTTTATCTGAAATTCTTGGATGTTTCAGATTCTGGAGTATTTGCACGAATCAAGTCTACATAAAAATTCATTTATTTCACACATGAAGGAAATGTATACTGTACATAAATATATAGATTTTTGTTGCTGTTGTTGTCAATTGTGAGGCTCGAACTCAGGGCTTAGGCGCTGTCCCTGAGCTCTCTGGCTCAAGCCTAATGCTCTACCTCTTTGAGCCACAATGCCACTTCCAGTTTTCTGGTGGTTAACTGGAGATAAAGAGTGTCAGGGACTAGACTGGCTTTGAACCTTGATCCTCAGATCTCAGGCTCTTGAGTAGCTCGGATAATAGGCATGAGCCACCAGTGCCCAGCATACAGAATGTTTTTAATACTTTTTTTTTTTTTTGGAGGGGGGGGTAAATACAAGAGTTTCACTATATAGCTCAGGCCATCCTTAAACTTGTGATTCTCCTCTCCCTGTCTCCTGAGTGCTGAGGTTATAGGTATTTAGCATTATGCCCTGTTTTATCTGTGCTTTGACTACAGCCTATCATGAGGTCATACGCAGAATTGTCTATCTCATTCAAGGCTGGTGCTGCTCTACTACTTGAGTCACAGGTCCACTTTCAGCTTTTTGCTGTTTAATTGGGCCTGGGATGGCTTCAAACCATAATTTTCAGATCTCAGTCTCCTGAGTAGCTAGGATTACATGCCTGAGACACCAGCACTTGCCCCTTAATTAATTGATTGATTCTGATGGTTGTAGGGCTTGAATTTGAGGCCTGGGCAATGTAGCTGAGCTTCTTTTGCTCAAGGCTAGTACTCTACCACTTGAATCACAGCACTTCTTTCAGTTTTCTGGTGGTTATTTGGAGGCAAGAGTCTCATACTTTTCTGCCAAGGCTGGCTTTGAACAGTGATCCTCAGATCTTAGTCTCCTGAATAGCTAGTATTACAAGCAAGAGCCCAGCACCTGGTTCAGTTCCTCATTTTTTAATTTTTTGGTCGGTCACGGGTCTTGAACGCTGTCCCCCAGCTCTTCAGCTCAAGGCACTTGAACCACTGTGCCACTTCCGGTTTTCTGAGTGGTTTATTGGAGGGTAAGAGTCTCACAGACTTTCCTGCCCAGGTTGGCTTTGAACCGCAATCCTCAGGTCTCAGCCTCCTGAGTAGCTAGGAATATAGGCGTGAGCCACCAGTGCCCAGCTCCTCATTTTATTCTTGATAAAAAAAATAAGACAGCCTAGGTTGGTCTCAAACTAATGATTTTCCTGCCTCAGCCTCCTGGCTGCTGGGATTAAATACATGGTTGGCCGGTTTATAAATTAGGCACACTAAGAGATTAACAAAGATAATAAGATGGAACAATTGTAAGAACATGTGGTAAAATGTTACATGAGTAGTTCTCACAAAATATATTATAAAAAGGACACCCTATTTTGTGATATGTCTATGTGATCAGTGAGGTATGATGAGGCTTTAGGCTACCATGTAAGAGTAATCCAAACACAAGCTCTGTCATACTTGGACAATCTGGGGACAGACAGCACCTAAGTAACAGGAGAGTACAGAATGTGGATAAGCTGGACAAAAGAATGGCTCAGTCTAGGCAGGACAGAATGAGAGGAATGGGATAAATATGTTTCTCAAACCTTACATATGAATTTCGTTATGTATGAGACCACAAAGTTGAACATAGGAATTAAGAAAATTCTTTATGCCTAGACTTAGAGGTAAGGAGCTGTTTAGTTCTTGTTGGCCCTTTGCCAGGATGAAAGCACAGTCTGGCTACCTATAAGTCTAAATTTCTACCTTTTGGTGTCCAATTTCTTTTTTTTAAATTCACATGTACATACATTCTATTTAGCCAATTAACCTCTAAAGCTCTCTTTCCCACTCCTCTCCACCCTCTTGGGGTCAAATTTCTGGTTCTGTTATGACTTCGTATTCAACAACTACTTTGGTCTCAGTTTCCCTCTTTTCTAAATAAGGAAAATATAACTTACCACACAGGAAGGATGTATGATAAAATAAAATAGTTCACATGAATGGACTTTCAGTTCTTCAGAAGAAAGGTATGAATCCTTAAGTATGAACCTGAAAAGCTAATTAAAAATAAGATGATTTTGTCAAAATTAAATATGAAATCACACAGTAGCCTACAGGGTCTTTAAGATAATTATTAATGACAATCATTTAAAAAAAGAAATTGGTTAAGTTTTTTTTTTTTTTTTTTTGGGGGGGGGGTGGGTTGTATCAGGGCTTCATGCATATTAACTAAGCACATATAGCTACATATACCATGAGCCCGAACTGTCAATTTTAACACAAATAACAATTCAAATTAAACTGGTTATTCAAAGTCATATTGATATGATACAATCTAAAAACATCTGTATAAAATGCTGACATTCTCTTGGTGTTTTATTTTTTAAAATTTGGTGATGGGATGAAAATCAGAATCTTGAATATGCCAGGCAAACATTGTACCACTGAGCTACATTCTCCATGTATTTATGTTTAATAAATATTAGCTAGGTATGGTGCCTCATACCCTGTAATCCTAGATGGGGAGGATGGCAGTCTAAAGCCACCCAGAAGTAAGTACACAAGAACCCATCTCAACTAAGTAAAATGCAAATGTGGTGGTACATACCTGTTATCCCAGCTACCTGAGAAGTAAAATTAGGTTTAGGCCAGCACAGGAATAAAGGCAAGACCCTATAAGAAAAACAGTGAAAAGGCTGAGAATGTGGCTTAGTGGCAGAGTGCTTGCCTAGCATGCATGAAGCCCTGGGTTTGATTCCTCAGTACCACATAAACAAAAAAAGACAGAAGTGGCGCTGTGGCTCAAGGGGTAGAGTGCAAGCCTTGAGCAAAAAGAAGCATTAGGGACAATGCTCAGGCCCTGAGTTCAAGCACCAGGACTGGCAAAAAACCAAAACAAAACAGAAAAACAGTGAAAGCAAAAAGGTACACAGGCATGGCTCAAGTACAGAGCACCTGTCTAGCAAGTACAAGGCTTGTATATACATATTTAGCTGGTTCCTCAAAAGATATGCAATCACTGATGAATAAGAACTACTTTAACTGAAAAGAAGTTTACCACATACATGCATACAAGGGGAAGTGTTAGGCATGTAACAATAATGAATTTAAGTTTTAAAGGCTAAAAGTAGGGCTGGGAATGTGACACAGGCCCTGAGTTCAAGCCCCAGGACTGGCAAAAAAAAAAAAAGACTAAAAGTATATACAATATTACTTAAAGCTTATTGAGTAGTGTATTAAAATTCTAATACTAAGTACTAGATACACAAAAGGTTATACTTACTATGCTTGCCCTAGAACTAGATTGCAAACTGGGGCCAAATAATTAGGTTACAATGGCTTAATAGACTAGTGACTATTACATGCAAACGAGTTACAATAGGAATAGGAATTCATACAGTAAGAAGGGAGAAAAGAGCATTGGGGAAGGTATCAAGATCTATAGAGCAGTTCATTTTATAATGGCAGCCATTACTATCTGAGTGGAGGTTTACAGAAACCTCAGAGGGAGGCAGGGCTGGTTCCCATTCCATATTTTAGATAAGGAAAACAAAGCTCAAATATTAGACAACTTCTGTAAGAAGGTCACAGGTCAGAGGGGCATACTCAGAGCTGGAGCTAGTTTGCCGACTTTGTCCCAGACCTTCCTTCTACTTGAGTAAATTCTAAATTACTGACACTTAAGTGAAAACTAGAAGGAAACTTTAAAATCTCCCAATGAAGTGTCTCCTTAACTCTGTGGTATACATTAAAAAGAATCCCAGAGTGTAGTATAGAACTACTAAATGTCAGTCTTCAGGTAGGAAGTATTTTAACTCAGTTCTCCTCTAAGTCCAGTGATTTGCTAAGTTTAGAAAATACTGCCGTACACCTGTATGTCCAATTTGGGAGATGTGGGTATTTAAGCTGACATACTAAAAGAAATACAATAAAAAAAACCCCTAATACTCTATTAGCTACGTTTTAAATATTCACATATGGCTACTGGCTATTATCAGGCCAGCACAGGTAAGAGGACATTTCCAAAATGGTAAAAAGTTCTACTGGACAATGGTGATTGAATCATGATCAACCCTTTAGTTGTGATGAGAAAGCTGATGTACATTGCTTGTCCAATAGATGCCATACAGCCACTGGTCTCTAGCTCCCTCCACACATTCAGTATGTTTAAATGGAACTACTTACTGCCTTTTCACCTTTTCTAGTGGCTTCCAAGTAAAATAAGAGAAACTGTAAATCTGATTATGTGAGGGAGAAGATAATTTAAAAACACAAAAGACAGGGTGGGGGAGGGTTCATGCCTGCAATCCCACCCACAAGGGAGCAAACATTGGAGGCTTGGGTCTGAAGCCACTCAGTGCTAATGGAGTGGTTTAAGTGGTAGAGTGACTGCCTAGGAAGCAAAATGCCCTAAGTTCAAACCCTAATACTAACATCCACACCCATAACCATGCCTCCCCCCAACCCACAGTTTATGAAAAAAAAACAAGACCTAAAACTAATCCGTACCTTCTACACAAAATCAAGAGATGTGCAGGACAAGCGTTGGAAGACAAGTATCTTAAGTCCATTTTCTTCTGTCCAGTTTTCATCTCTCATGCATTTGAAACCCTGAGACTAATTACACATGTTGTCTTACTTTAAATTTAAAATAGATGGCTAAATCTTATATCACAAGTCTCTTAAAGATGCAAAAGTGGGAAACAAGGAGCAATTCAAAGAAACCTAATTTTCTAATTTTAGAATGTGGTCACTTAGCATACTGAGTACTCCTGGCTTTCAGTAATTTAGTAGCTTACCTAAGTTTGAGATACATGGCATTAATATGTTGTTTTCACTTGTAAAATAAAATTTTTTGTTGTTGTTGGTGCCAGTACTAGGCTGGATCTCAGGGCCTGGGGGTGGTGACCTGAGCATTTTTGCTCAAGGCTAGTACTCTATCCCTTGAGCCAAAGCTTGGCTTCCAGGTTTTTGAAGTTAATTTGAGATAAAAGACTCCAGGGTTTTTCCTGCATGGATCCTTAGACCTCAGCCTACTTATGCCCAGCTCTCTTTTTTTAATTTCAGCACTACAGTACATTTTAAAACCAATCATGTGTTTCATTTTAATTTTCAAAATTAGAGATTAAGAGTATCTGACATACATACAGTCCACATATAACCAGCCATAAAGCAGACAGCAATGTCCTCTTTAAAGATAAAACCAGTTGTTCCTGTCTAGTATGTTTAGAATGCAAATGTTTCCAAAGTCAATCAACATGTCATGACAGTTGAGGTTTAAAGTTGGCAGGAAATTAACTTGAAACTCTCTATAAACTAAAACTTGAAAGGTATCATTATATATAACTCCATTAATTTTTACATCCCATGTTAAATTCTAGTGATTAGATTTGGAGAAAATAGTCACAGTTTCATGAAGTTAAAAATTGGATAGTTAAAAAGTATGGCACAACATAAGACTATGCATACACATTCAAGAAAGATTCTACCATAATTTGCAAGATTCTACCATAATTTGCACAGCCTTGAGTATGGGCTTCTACATAAATAGAAGCTACTTGTTTATTCAGAGATAGGGGCGCAAGAAAAAAAACACACAGCTATTTTTCTTTTTAAATACTCTTTGGTGTTGAGATAAATGAAAGAAAAGTAACAGTTTAAGCACACAAGAGCAAAGCAACAGTCTAAGAGGGGGAGAAAAACGTGCTCTCAAACGTTTTAAACAGATATTGGGAATTTAAAATAAAATTTATTAGTTGGCTAAATTTTAGGCCAGATATGTACTTGTTTTGACTCCCAGTATACCATATTCGGTAAAGGAAAATATGTGTGCCCAATATTCTTATACCATTTGGTGCACAACAAATGAAGGATAACATTAATTAGAAAAACAGAGTGGTAAACATATTTAAAAACAAATAACCAAGTAATAAACACTAACATTAATTTGGAGAGGATTAAAAATACTGCAACCTCTATGCAAATATTAAAAGCATGGCATAAAACTAAAAGAAAAAAAGTTGAAAACATAAAAATGTAAAAGCAGTTGGGAAGAGGGGACTTGGAAGGGAAGTTTACAAAGAATATTGGGGAATAGTAAAATTCTGATTATGCTTCTCAACCAGGTACTGGTTCTATGAGCTTCTTTCATGAAGGGGCACGAGCGAGCGAGAGAGAGAGAGAGAGAGAGAGAGAGAGAGAGAGAGAGAGACAGAGAGAGAGAGAGAGAGAGAGAGGGGGGGGGGGGGAGAAAAGGGCCACCCTCGAATTTCCCCAGTATCTGGCTGAAGAGAGCAGTATCAAACCATTTTCACCCGTGTAAGCTGGAACACTTGAAATTGTCCAGCCCCAGAAAAAGAGAGAGGAGGAAAAAAAAGTTTCTCTCAAAGTTCCACCCCCCCCTTCCTCCACTTCCCTGCTGTTCTTTCCTGGCACACAAAATATAGGCCAATGAGCAGTGGGTGGGTGAAGAGGATGTGAGAAAAAAAAAACACTGAGAAGTAAAAAAGAAAGAAAGAAAAATAAACAACCAGGAGCAACTTAACCAGGACTTGAATGAAGACTCTCCAGGGTCTAATGAGGGGAGGCAAACGACACTTCACAGCCTACGGGAACACGGAAGGGGCTTTCCTGCCCAGCAGCGAGCGCCGGGCTGGGCGGAGGGGGGGTGGGGGTGGTCGGGGGTGAAGGTGGAAGGGGAGAGGCCGCGCTACCTACCACTTGTCAGGAGCTGCAGAGGGAGGGAGGGGGGGGGGCGGCCGCTTTGGGTGACCTCTAGTGTCTCGTCCGACTCTGAAACGTCAGGATTGGTCTTTCACCAACGACCACGCCACGGTCCTGGGGCGGCCCACCGACGTGGAAACCCGTGCGAACCAGCGGCCCTCCCTCCCCCACGTGCCCACCCCGCCCCCTTCCGTATTTCCACCTCCACGTGCAAACGTCTGGCGCGGCGCGGCGCCCCCCGCCCCCCAACCCGGCCGCAGCCTCCCCCCCCCAGCCTCCCCCCCAGACGGCGCCCCCCCGCCCGCCCCCGGGACGCCGGGACGCCACGCTCCCACCCTCGGCGGCTAAAAAAGGAAAAGTCACCGATTCAACCTTTCTCCTCGGGCAGAGCGGGGGCGGGGAGGGGAGAGAGGAAAAGAAACAACTTTCTTCTCCATTTGTTTTCTTCCAACCCACCCCCCCCAACACACACCCTCCGAGTGTGGAGAGAAAGAACCCCGGCGAGTGTGGGACCGAGGGGGAGGGGAACCCCGGAACGTTTAACGGCCGGCAGGGGGAGGGGTGCTCCGGAGGTGGAGGGGGGCGTGGGAGGGAGAAGCAGGCCTGGGAGCTGGGGGGTCAGGGAGCTGCGGGGGTGGTTCCGGGGGTCGGGGAGCTGCAGGCGTCCCCCCCCCACGCAACCTGGCACACAAAGCGGCTGCCGCGCTCGGCTCTCACCAGATCCTTTGTGTTTTCCATCAGGGCCTCATGGGTAGGGGTTGTCCGTGCGCCCCGAGCCCGCGGCGCCCCCTCCCAGAGCGGGGGACACCAGTCACCTCTCCCCGGGAACTGCGGCGACTACAGGGCAAGGGGGGGGGGAGCCCCGGTTGGGCCCAGACCGGTGGCGGTTGCGGCAGCCCCCGGATTTCCCCCCCTTCAACTCGGGTGGCCCCAGGATATCAACAACATTAGCATAGCCCTCCCTCCGCAGCGCGCCTGCGCCGTGACCCGCGCCCCGATTGGCCCACTTCCCCACATACCCTCCTCTCGCTTCTCCAGCGTGGGACCCTCGGCAGGCGCCGTACTCTACGGGCCGTACCAAGGCGAAGGAAGGGAGAGGTAAGGAGAGCTGGTGCCAGGCCCGGTGGTTATTAAGTCAGGAGCAAGCAGACGAGTTCCTTTCGGTCTCCTCTCGTCAGTCCTCGGTCGTTCTTGCGCTTCTTTCAACACTGAGTTGCCTCGGAAAAATTTTCCACTCCCAAGTCACGCCGCTTCCCCCTACACTCGGGAAGATAGGCTCTCCCGGAGGAACTCCCACACGGGGCGGGGCTGCCGGCCGGAGTGGGAGTGACGCAGGAGGGAGGCGGGGGTGAGGTGGGGTGGGGAGTATCAGTCACGTGAGAGGCTGCGCAGGCTTCTTCCGGTCCCTCAGGGTTTCGGCGGCCGCAGCGGTGGCTGCGGCAGGCGTGACGCCTCCGCGCATGCGCGGCGGGGACTCCACGTGTGCGCCTGCGTTTCTTCTCCAACCCAGCGATGCCGCCCGAACGGAGAAACCGTACGAAACCGGACCGGAGAGCCGGCACCAGGCTTGACCGGAAGACTCAAAGAAAGCCAGATGGGAGAGCCAGACTGGATAGGGGCGGGTTGCCCCGGAAGGCTGCCCCTTCTTCATCCCAGCGGACACCTCCGGCCCAGTCGAGCTCGGCGACCGCCCTCGAGGCGGCGGCGGCGGCGGCCGAGGCAGAGCGCCGGCTCCGCCAGCGGAACCGCCAGACTTTAGAGGAGGACATACCGGCCGAGGAGCGGTGCCTGGAGGAGCTGGTCTTCGGCGACGTGGAGGAAGACGAGGGCGCGCTGCTGCGGCGTCTGCGGGGCTCGCAGGTGAGGGGGGCCTCGGCGCGGCCGGGCGCGTTCCGGCGGGGCGCGCGGTGGGCGGTGAGGCCCCGGGGGCGGAGCCTGGCTGCCCGGCGGCGGCGGCGGCGGCGGGCGCTCAGGTGTGTGTGCGCGTGTGTGCGCGTGTGTAGGGGAGCGCACAGGTGTGTGTAGGGGGTGGGGGGAGGCCGGAAGGCGGACGCCGGGGGTGGGGGTTCCGCCGCGCGCACTCCGCCTGCGGCGCCGGGTGCGGGTTTGGGCGGGTGCGGACCGCGCTTTCCCCCCTCCCCCGAGCGGCCCGAGCTGCTGGTAGTACCGCTGCAGGCGCTCCGCAGCATACTTCATTCGTTTGTGTTTGGAAAATTCCGGCGGAGAGCGCCTTTGACAGTCAGCTCCGTTATCTTCCGAGCGAACTCCGGGCAGTCGTGGGGTGGATCACCTACCGCCGTTCTTCGCCCGAGCTTCCCCGAGTTCCGGCCTGGGAATCTGCATTTTGACCATCTTAAACCTCCCCCTCCCGTCCCCAGCGTGATCACGATATATATATATATATATACGTATATATGTATACACACACCCATATATATATATACACGTCATTTTTTGAGAATTGTATGTCTTTTGGTACGTATTCTCAAGCTTCTGGATGCCAAAACTCAACGCTTCCTGACAACGGGCAATACCCGGCGCGATTAAAATTAAATTTTTGCTCTCTGTCATTCGCTTTATTCTGTATCTGGCTTTTGCACCAACGTAGAGATTCTAGGCGTTGGAAGAGACCCAGCAATGGACATAACTAACAACAACGACAAAAAATCTCCCTGCTCTCTTGGAGCTTTTGTAACCAGTAATGATCTAGATGCAAGGTAAAGCAGATAAAAGTGGTGGCAAGTGCTGAGAGAACAAAGTAAAACTTTTAGGAAAGGGAAATAGTTTGTGTAGGGGAGGTGTGTGAAGTTTGTAGATTGAATGGCCAAGGACAGTCTGGCAGAATTACTGCCTCCCTCTGCTAAATTAATACACATTTAGCAGGTATCTGCTGATGTCTATAACCTTCTTTGTGTGTAGTTGGGAGAAGGACTGGAAAAATGTGCAACTGGGACTGTGCCGATGGTATTTGAAGGAGCTTAAAACAGCTATAGGACATTACTGTCATGTGGGTTGGGGGAAGCCCCAGATCACTTTATCGGGGTTCTATGGTTTGGATTTAGATTACATATTTTGGTATAAAATTTCAAGGATATGGGGGCCAACCACAGTCAAGAACAATGGAAAAGAGATGTACCTAAGAATATGAGGTAGGAAGCCGGGTGCTGGTGGCTCACGCCTGTAATCCTAGCTACTCAGGAGACTGAGACCTGAGGATGGCGGTTCAAAGCCAGCCCGGGCAGGAGAGACCGTGAGACTCCTAGCTCCACCAGAAAACCGGAAGTGGCGCTGTAGCTCAAGTGGTAGAGTGCTAGCCTTGAGCTGAAGAGCTGAGGGACAGTGCCCAGGCCCAGAGTTCAGGCCCCACGACTGGACTCCCCCCCCCCCCCCCCAAAAAAAAAAGAAAAACTCAGAGCTTGAATGTGTTTTGTTTTTCTGTAGACTCAACATGGTGGAACCTTGGATGATTCTGAAGGGGAGAATGAAGCACATGATAATTTTCCCCCCCAGAAGAAACCAGTTTGGGTGGATGAAGAAGATGAAGATGAAGAAATGTAAGTTGTTTGTTCCTTCTAGAATTTATATAGTCATTTTCCCATGAACTGATTCCATCAATGAAATGAAACTTAGAAATCACGCATGAGAAATTGCAGCAAGTGGTGAAAATTACTCATATTTTAAAAAGGTATGATTATTGAAAAGGTTGTTCATCATTCCATGCTGAGGGAGAACTTCTGTTAACCTTTGATATAGGTTTCTCCCTATCTGGGTTTGCTAGAGTGGCATTCTACCACTGAACCATGCATTTGGCCCATCTGGTCTTTTCTGTACGACGTACACTAGCTCTTAAGAGGACATAGTTTGGTCTTGGTGCTGAGCTTGCCTTTTTTTTGTTAATTGACCAGTTCCAAACAGCATGGACAAGCTTGAAAATCCACCTTTTTTTAATTTGCAAAATCAGCATAAATAATAGTAACAGGCTGTTGGGGTTAAGATGGTGCACATAAAATTTCTAGTATATGATGCTTGAAGCTGAAGGCTTAAAAGAAAACTTGCACACACAGATGTAATTTCACAGTATACAGTGTGTACTGTATACTTGATATTTTGACATTCTGCCTGAAGTTACTTTGTAAGCATCTCATGTAAAAAAAAAACTATATGCAATTTTAAATGGTTATTGTAGCCCTTGAATGAATCAATCATAATTTATGTAGCTGTTTTTGGATAAATATTTTGTATTACATTAGTACTGAGGTAAATATCTTCAAAAATAAACATTTTTATTTTTTTGGTTGGTCGTGGGGCTTGAATTCTGGGCCTGGGTGCTGTCCCTGAGCTCTTAAGCTCAAGGCTAGTGCTCTACCACTTGAGCCACAGTGCCACTTCTGGTTTTCTGGTGGTTTATTGGAGATAAGAGTCTCATGGACTCTCTTAACCTGGCTGGTTTTGAGCTGCGATTCTCAGATCTCAGCCTCCTGAGCAGCTGTTCTTTTTTTTTTTTTTTTTTTCAGTTGTGGGGCTTGAACTCTGGGCCTGGGCACTCAAGGTGAGTGTTCTACCATTTGAGCCACAGTGCCACTTCCATAAACATTTTTTTCTTATTCCTTAAGATTCTTTGTGGATAGAATTAATTGATTATATAGCACAGATATCTTTTAAGGTTCCTGATAAATACTGCTAGATTGCATACCAGTTTACCTTCTTGGAAAGTGTCCAGTTCAGTCCTTAAGATAGTCTGATCTCTCTGAATGCAGCCTGTGGTTCACGCCTGTAACCCTAGCTGAGATCTGAGGATCTCTGTTCAAAGCCAGCTCAGGCAGAAACATCCCTGAGACTCTTAACTCCAATTAACCACGAGAAAACTGGAATTGGCGCTGTGGCTGAAGTGGTACAGCGCTAGCCTTGGGCTGAAGAGCTAAGTAAGGGACAGCACCCAGGCCCAGAGTTAAAGCCCCAGGACTGACAAAGAGAAAAAAAAGATAGTCTAATCTTTGAAACTTCCTCATCCTTTTGGTTCTTGTTTGTCTGTTTGCCTCAGTAATGATGCTTGAACTCATCACCAGGCTACTCTTCCTTAGCTTTTTTCATTGAAGGCTGGCATTCTGGCACTTAAGCTGCATTCTAGCTTCTTGGTGGTTAATTGGGGATAAGAATTACATAGACTGGGCTGGGAAGGTGGCTCAGTGGTAGAGCGCTTGCCTTGCATGTCTGAGGCCCTGGGTTGGATTCCTCAGCACCACATAAGCAAAAAGAAAAAAGCCGGAAGTGGCACTGTGGCTCAAGTGGTAGAGTGCTAGCCTTGAGCTGAAGAGCTAAGGGACAGCTCCCAGGCCCAGAGCTCAGGCCCCACGACTGGACCCAAAAAAAAAAAAAAAAAAAAGAGTTACACAGACATTTTTGCCTGGGCTGACTTCAAACCTTGATCCCCAGATCTCAGCCTCCTAAGTAGAAAGAAATACAGGCACGAGCCACTATCACCCAACTTACTGTTTTTCTTTAAAATGTTTATTATCTTTGTTGGTTCTGGGGCTTGAACTCAGAACCTGTGCACTGTCCCTGAGTCTCTTCTGGTCTTTTCTGAGTACTTTATTGGCGATAATAGTCTCATGGACTTTACTGCCTGGGCTGGCTTTGAACTGCGATCCTTAGATCTCAGCTTCCTGTGTAGCTAGGGTTACAGGTGTGAGTCATCAGTGCCTGGAATATTTTTTTTTATGATCTGTGATAACTTATAATTTATAACTGGGAAATGTCCTTTATCATAAAGAGACAACCTTTGTGCAAATTTTTTCTTTATAGTTATTTTAAAGTTTGCTTTTTGTGTATTGAGCTCTTATTCTTACTTGGGGTTTATTTTGAAGAATATTTCTAGGTAAGTTATGATGAGTGTTGTGAAATATTAGCTTTCTAGACAGTAACTATGATTTGGAATACCAGAGAACCAAAAGAAAAAGAATAGAGAGTGTGCATATGAGATATTCCACATCTTATAATCTTTTTATGTTTTACATGATACTGAGGTTTTGAACTTACGGCCTGGCAGGCACTGTACCACTTGAGCTACACCATCAACCACCATATCTTACAGTCATAATCAATATTGTTCCATTAAATGCTTTGGAAAATACTAAAGGGACTATCAATTTATGATGACTTTAAAATTGCTTAACTTTTTTTTTTTCTGTCAGTTGTGGGGCTTGAACTCTGGGACTGGGCACTGCCCCATAGCTCTTCAGCTGAAGGCAGGCATTGTACCACAGCGCCACTTCCAGTTTTCTGGTGGTTAATTGGAGATAAGAGTGTTATAGACTTTCCTGCCTGGGCTGGCTTTGAACTGCAATCCTCAAATCTTAGCCTCCTGAGTAGCTAGGATTACAGGTGTGAACCACTTACTTAAATTTTGCTGTTATTTTTCAGGGTTGACATGAAGAAAAATCGATTTCGGAAAGATATGATGAAAAATGCCACAGAAACTAAACTCTCAAAAGATAAGCTTCAAAAGAGACTCAAAGAAGAGTAAGTATCACTTTTTACTGGCTTATATCCAGTAGTTTACCTTTGTTTTGTCTTTGGCTATAGCAGCATAGCATCATTTTTGATTACATTTTTAGTTCCCACCTCCAACCCCCAAGCTTGAACTCTCCCAGAGCTGTTTTGTTCAGGAAAATTAAAAAGAAAAAAACAAAACAAATGGACATAGTGTGAACAGGCATTAATACTGTTGGGAAATTTTCTGGGGATTGTAGTGCTCAGTACACTAATGCCTGTTGTCCAATTTCTGAAAGTAGTTTCATATGTTTTGTCCATTTTTCTAGTAGTTTATAGCTAGTGGCTGTGTTTGGAGGGTTTTTAATTTTTTTTAATATTATTTGGGCTTGAATTCAGCCTCATGCTCTCACTGATCTTTGTTATACAAGGCTGTTGCTCTCTATCATTGAGACTTGCCTATGGTTGGCATTTTTGAAGGTTAATTTAAATTGAGTTTCACAGACTCTTCTTGAACTGGCTTGGAACTTCTTTGAACCTCTGTCCTCAGATGGCAGCCATTTGAGTAGCTAGGATTATAGATAGGAGCCACTGGTACCTGGTTAGTTTGTACTTCTGTGTTAAAGAATTAAAAATGACTCTCTGATCTCTTCTAGCTACTTTTAGCACAACTGTTAACGCTTGTTTTTTCAGGTGGAAAGCACCTATTTAAATGATACATGATGAAGCTTTGTTTATTCTCACTAATCTATTACAAATTTCATGTACTCTGGCATTAGTTTGTAACCACAAAGAGACTTCTTTACTTAGTCTTGAACATTTGTGTTTCTCTGAGCAAATAAGACAAATATCTAGACATAAATTTAACAACAGATTTGTGTCTAGATGTTCTATAGCCAAGATTACTTTAGGTGAGCAGAGGTTCATGAAAGTTCTCAACATAGGCTCTATATGAATAAGAGAACTTTTGTTCTTAAAGGTAGTGACTGGTAGAAATTCTATACATACTCTCAAGGATGCTTATATATTTTATATATCCACATCTATGAACATGAAGATTACCACAGCATTGTTTTGTTTCTCAATATTTTGTTTAGATTTCAGCATGCTATGGGAGGAGTACCTGCATGGGCAGAGACTAGTAAGCAGAAAACATCTTCAGATGGTGAGTTGATGACTTGTTAGTCTCTTTACTTACTCTGTTATTATTTGAGTTTTCTTATGCTCCTTAAAATCTAGTATTTCAAGAGGCCTTTTTTGTTTTGTTTTTGCTGATGCTCAGATTTTGAAGTCTGTTGTTTCTTAGAGGGAAGTATAGGCAGAGATGAGGAATAGCTGCCTGGTGGACAGATGATGCCCATGAATTTGGTACCTGATGGGATAGACATATACTTCTTGTCAGCTGCCCATGATTGTCTGCTTGCATTGATAATTTTGTATGGCCCACATATGAATTTACACATGTCCAAGTGACTCTGGGCAAAAAAAAAAAAAAAATGGATTTTCTACCCCTAATTTTTCAATCTCCCTCCCCAAAAAGTTTGATGGCTCTTTATTATTTTGAAACCTGTGCATTTTTTTCTTTGGTTTTTCAGTCAAATTATAATACTAATATTGGCCTTACTATATTTCACTGAGTGCTGAACATTGCATATGAAAAGTTAATTAGAGGTAGGATAATAGTTTGTGTGACTGGGTAGGGAATACTAGTAATCTCAGAGCATCTTATTCCAGTGAGGAGTTGTGAAGGTTTAAAGCCAGATTTCAGTTCTTGAAGCTTTTTTTTTTTTTTTTTTTACTTTACCTATAATCCTACTTGTAGCATTTGTGGCCTTGATTGAAAGCCTGGTAGTTTACCAGACCTCTGTCAAGAAGCTTAGAGGGCTTGGTGGTGCTAGTTGTAGCCTTCTTAGCTCCATGAGGGTTTAAAGAAGTCTGTTCAACTTCTCAGCTGTTTCTTGTACTGTTTTCAGTCATGTCTAGGGGACAAGAAGCCTTGTTAGCTTTCTGAAGTTAGGTTATACATTTTGCTGACTGTGATCTTTTAGTCAACGGATCTCTTACTCTTAGTTCTTTTGCATTTATGGTGTTAAGCTAGCTCTGCTGTTCTTCCCATTGCTAATTTTGACATAATTATGAGTTGCTCTTTTTAAATGAAATTGCTGGCTTTATTTAAACTTGCATGTTTCACTTCATCTTTAGTCACCATCTGTGTGTTAATCTTCTATTTGAGTCAAGCTTTGATTTTTAACTATGTATGCTAAATGCTAAGTCATCATTGTCTTTTCCTTTAAAATGTGTTCTGCTGTTTTGCTTTTACCAGGTGGAACTTTAAAAAGGTGGTTGAGTTTAGAAGGCCAGGAGGGGAATTGCAGTTGGAAATAGAGTAGTTTGAGATAAGGTAAAAGACTGTTATTCTAAAGTTAGCTTTATGGTTTTCCCTGACTTAGATGAAAGTGAAGAAGATGAAGATGATCTGTTGCAGAGGACTGGGAATTTCATATCCACATCAACTTCTCTTCCAAGAGGAATCTTGAAGGTGAGAGTTGGTGAAGTTGAGACTTATCAATTATTTTTGAGATCTATTCAGCTTCACAGTATGTATGGGTTTCTGATATGTGTAAGATTAATTGTGCTTTTTACTTCGGTAAATATTTGTTAGTTTTTTTTTTCTTTTTGCTTCTGTTTTTGCAAAAAAAAAAAAAAGATCAAAAAGTAAAACCTGAATCATACTTAGTTTCTCCTTTTGCATATCTCTTTGCATTTCCCTTGGTAGCATCCTCACCATATTGCTGTCATCTCCTTGGCCCATGTAGTTGTTTTGTGACTGGCCTCTATATTTAACACTTTGCCTCCTTCTAAATCATTTTTCATACAGTAGCCAAGTGTTGACCATGCCACTTTTCATTGCCTTTTGGAACCCTGTGAATTCCTATCATAGTCTACACTGCCTTGATTGATCTAGCTTTTGCCCACATCTCCTTTTCTTTGTTCTCTGCTAGAGCCATGCAAATCTTTTATTTTCCTTAAAACAGGCTGGGTTATTTTTTTACCTGTGAACTTTTGTCCATGTTTTTCCTCCAGTCTGTCCATTAAGTGTTGCTAGTGGCCAGCTTGGTCTCTGTTCAAGTACCACTTTAGATAATACTTTTTGGGGGGGTAGGGGGGGCAATCATGGGGCTTGAACTCTGGGCCTGGGAACTGTCCCTGAGCTCTTCAGCTCAAGGCTAGTGCTCTACCACTTGAGCCACAGTGCTTCCAGTTTTCTGGTGGTTAATTGGAGATAAGAGTCTCATGGACTTTCCTTCCTGGGCTGGCTTTGAACCTCAATCCTTAGATCTCAGCCTCCTGAGTAGGATTATAGGCATGAAGTGGCTTATGCTATTTACATTTTAACTTCTGCTATTTATTGTGGTATTTAAGTGCCTACAGAGTAAAGTGCTTCAATTACATATCTCAAATTAACAGCTTTTTTTCCCCCGCACTATAAAATGGCATGTTTTAGATTTTGCTAAGTTACTAAGAGACAGAGAGCACAGCTCATTCAGTTCTTCACAGAGTGAACTCACCTCCATTGAAAATGTAGTTAACATAAATCACTGGTTCCAAACAAATGTATACATTATGCTTCCCTCATGCCTTCTTGGCTGGCTTACTCATGGCTGGCACTCTACCATTTGAACTATGTGTCCAGCCTTGCTTTCTTTTTATTTTTTGTTGTTGTTGTTTTTGCCAGTCTTTGGGCTTGAACTCTGGGCCTGGGCACTGTCCCTGAGCTTCTTTTGCTCAAGGCTAGTATTCTACCACTTGAACCACAGTGCCACTTCTAGCTTTTTCTGTTTATGTGGTACTGAGGAAATGAACCCAGGGCACTCTACCACTAAGCCACATTCTCAGCCATAAAGAAACAACATTTTTTTTTTTTGGTCAGTCATGGGGCTTGAACTCTGGGCCTGAGGTTTTCAGCTCAAGGGGAGCGCTCTACCACTTGAGCCACAGCACCATTACCAGCCTTGCTTTATTTATTTATTTACTTATTTTTGTTGGTCGTGGGGCTTGAATGCTGGGCCTGGGTGATGCCCTCAGCTCTTCAGCTCAAGGCGAATGCTCTTCCACTTGTCTCACAGTGCCACCTCCGATTTTCTGGTGGTTAATTGGAGATAAGAGTCTCATGGACTTTGCCACTTGGGCTGGCTTTGAACCTTGGTCCTCAGATCTTAGCCTCCTGAGTAGCTAAGGATTATAGGCGTGAGCCACTGGTGCCTGACTTCAGCCTTGCTTTTTGTTGACAAACCAGAGATGGACTCTCATATACTTTGGAGAACATGGAGTAAAGTCGATCATGTCATAGTAGCCAGAAAGGAGAAAAGGAAAGAGGAAAACCAGGGCAAACTTTAGTCCCAGGGCCATGTTCTCAGTGCCTTACTTCCTTCATCGAGGCCCCATATCCTACAGTTTTCAACACTACCACTGGGGACACATGAGTCTCTGGGGGAGCATTTCATATTTGTGCCTTAACAAAAGGATCTGTCTTAATGATTATTAATCCCGTAATTGGAGAGGTGGTAAACATGGATACTTGTAAAGAAGAGACTTGTAGTTGGTGCCAGAGTTGTAGCTTTTGGCTACCATTCAGTTCTTTTCTATTGTAATCATAATGCTTGTTTCTCTACACTACATTATTTGAGTTGATAAAATTTTTGCTTTATTATTCTACAGATGAAGAACTGCCAGCATGCCAATGCTGAACGGCCTACCACTGCTCGGATTTCTTCAGTTCAGTTCCACCCTTGTGCTCAGGTGGTGATGGTTGCTGGGTTAGATAATTCTATTTCACTCTTTCAGGTATGCTTTGTAAGGGAAGGCTTGTAATGTGATAGTTTCACTGCCAGCATATAGAGTCTATGGACAAAAAACCAAGAGCAACATTTTGTACTTTCTTACAGGTTGATGGCAAAACAAATCCTAAAATCCAGAGCATCTATTTGGATAGGTTTCCAATCTATAAGGCTTGTTTTACTGCAAATGGAGAAGAGGTTTTAGCCACAAGTGTTCACAGCAAAGTTCTTTATGTCTATGATATGCTAGCTGGAAAGTTAGTTCCTGTGCATCAAGTGAGAGGTAAGATTTCTGTTGAGCTTCCAACCAGTTCCCCCTACCCCACTAAGCTGAGTTCATTTTAACAATAATTATGACCACTTTTTCACCTCAGAGGAATCTTAAGAGTGTTAGTTACAACATTTGGAAAAATGTCATTTTATTGAGCTAATGTATTTAAATGAAGGTAATAAAAAATGACCTTTTTTCTTTTCTTTTTCTTTTCTTTTTTTTTTTGGTCGGTCATGGGGCTTGAACTCGGCCTGAGCGCTGTCTCTCAGCTTTTGAGCTCAAGGCTAGCGCTCTACCACTTGAGCTACAGCGCCACTACCGGTTTTCTGGTGGTTTATTGGAGATAGGAGTCTCACGGTCTCTCCTGCCCGGGCTGGCTTTGAACCGAGATCCTCAGATCTCATCCTCTTGAGTAGCTAGGATTACAGGCTTGAGCCACCGGCGCCTTGCGAACTGGCCTTTTTTCTTAAGCATTTACAGCATGATCATAATTTACAAATATATCACCCTAGAATGCAGTTGCAGATTCTTGGTTGTAAAGTTAGCAACTGAGAGAGTTAGATGTACCTGGCTTGTAGCTTCTGGACATATGCTTCACTTCGTTGATAGATAGGAATTACATCATCTGTTTCTGTGGTTTATTGTAACTTTTATTTATACTTCAAGGTATTTGTGTCTTTCTTTTCCCAGTCCTAGGGCTTGAACTCAGGGCTTGGGCGCTGTCTCTGAGCCTCTTTGTGGTTAAGGCTAGCACTCTACCACTTGAGCCACAGCACCACTTTCAGCTTTTTCTAGTAGTTTATTGGAGATAAGAATCTCACAGACGGGCTGGGAAGGTGGCTCAGTGGTAGAGTGCTTGCCTTGCAAGCATGAGGCCCTGGGTTTGATTCCTCAGCACCACATAAGCAAAAAGAAAAAAGCCGGAAGTGGTGCTGTAGCTCAAGTGGTAGAGCGCTAGCCTTGAGCTGAAGAGCTGAGGGACAGTGCCCAGGCCCAGAGTTCAGGCCCCACGACTGGACCCAAAAAAAAAGAGAATCTCAGACTTTTCTGCCCAGACTGGCTTCGAGCCATGCTCCTCAAATCTCAGCCTCCCGAGTAGCTTGGATTACAGGCATGAGCCACTGGTTGGTGCCTGGCTTTGTGTCTTTTTTTTTTGTTTATAAAGAGTAAAATAATGTAAAAAATAAACTATTTTTATCAGTAAAGATTTATTTGCTCTCAACCTTACCCATTCTTTTGTATTCTTCTACTGTTACCACAAAATATAGTGACACTTCATTCATGATTCTTTTGGGGACCAATGCCATTGTAATGAGGTTGGCTGAGTTATTATCATAAATCTGGGAGGTAGTGTTGGCACAAGCCACAGCTCACTGGCGGTTTTGTTACAATGCACGTGTCTCTAAAAGGACAAGGGTAGCTTTTTACAGCCATATTTCTGCTTGCCATTGACTGAATAAGGCCAACTTAAACATTTATGGTGCTTATCTTTATTATTTGCACTCTTCACTGTGTTCTCTAATACCTTTCATGATCCTTTCTTAGTAGGTTCTTCGTTTATCTAATTGTGCTTTGAGCCTGGGTTTCTTAGACATTAATGTGCATATGAATTTAGCTGGGAGTCTCAAGGTTGCAATTACAATTCTGAAGTATTTCTGATGCGTTTATCGTTTATTCTTATAGTGCATTACTACTTACATTTGGAAAATTGATATATTTACTATCTGAAGAACTGAATCTGTGCTTTACAATTAAAATGGTGAATGTTAACTACGACAGTTTTACCAAGCATTTTGTTTGGGTCCTTTTTGGTGATCCTTAGGATTTTGCTCACTCATAACATTGTGACATTTTAAAAGGTAAACTCAGTTGTAAGAAGGTGATAACTTTATTGAAACTTACGTTAACCTTATTTTAATTGATTCATCTCCTTTAATAGGTTTGAAAGAGAAAGTAGTGAGACGTTTTGAAATCTCCCCAGATGGATCATTCTTGCTCATAAATGGTATTGCTGGATATTCTCATTTACTGTCAATGAAGGTAAAGCATTATTAGTTGTTCTCTTGTTCCTTTTGAGTTAGATATTAGTATATCAGGATTAAAGACAATCTTGAACCCTAACTGTGTACCCTTGAATCTTCATAGTAGAGGTACTTAGCGGAGTAATTGTGGGCAGTTGGTAGAAAATCTTGATGGTCAGAAAAAGATTTAAAATTAACTTCTAGAAACTAGAGAACAGTTCACTAACATTTGGTAAATAATATGTATTATTTTAGACCAAGGAGCTGATTGGTAGCATGAAGATTAATGGAAGAGTATCAGCATGCACTTTCTCTTCAGATAGTAAGAAAATATATACTTCTTCTGGTAAGTTAATGAAAAGAGAAGCAGAAGTTTGGGTGTCTTGTGTCAAATTTAATTAAAAATGACTTGGTTTTTTTTTTTTTTTTTTTTTTAAGTTTCCTTAGAAGATGAGATTTCACTTTATAACTAACTTTTTATAACTAACTTTTTTTTTTGGTCGGTCGTGGGGCTTGAACTCTGGGCCTGGGCACTGTTCCTGCGCTCTTCAGCTCAAGGCGAGCGCTCTACCGCTAGAGCCACAGCACTACTTCACCACTTCCGGTTTTCTAGTAGTTTATTGGAGATAAGAGTCTCACAGACTTTCCTGCCCGGGCTGGCTTTGAACCGTGATCCTCAGATCTCAGCCTCCTGAGTAGCTAGGATTACAAGCGTGAGCCACCGGCTAACTTTTTTACAATAACATTTTCCTCCTCATTTACAAATAGTAATATTGAAGAACTAGCCACCTTCAACATGCAGTGTTAGCATGTTCACTGCTGCTTAACCTTTATTCTTTGCCCAGCCTGAGGAAGTTGATTTGTCAAGGAAGTAGTTGGAACTGAAATTGGCTCAGAGCTCATTAAAGTGGGGAATAAGGGAACATATACAGAAGGGTGAACTTTGGAACAGTATTTACAGAAAAGGAAGAGATAAGTAGGGAACGAGGAGCCATTTTTGAGGTGGCTGTACGGTTATCACAGCTGTGGATAATGGATTAGGGAGGAGGGTTGTCAGAATCAACTGGATGAGAGAAAAAAATGAAATGAGGACTGATTTTCACAGATGGTCTTTGCTTACATATAAATATTTGTGGTCTTTTCGTATTTGATATCCTGTGTGCGTGCATGTTTGTGTGCATGTGTGTGTGAACGTGCGCACGTCTTGGGTCTTGAACTCAGGGCCTGAGCACTGTTGTGAGTTTCTTTGCTCAAGACTAGTGTTCTTTTGGTTAATTAGAAGTGAGAGTCTCATGGACTTTGCTATCTGGGCTGGCTTTGAATAGCTAAGATTACGGGTGTGAGCCACTGACACCTAGCTTAATATCTTTATCTTGCCCACATAATTCTCCTTTCTCTAAATTATTTATGCTTATCACTAGTAGCATTCCTTGTTATTGAAATGACCTGGAAAGATTAAAAAAGTGAATATATCTTCTAAGTTAAATGGTAAATTATTTGTGTCTGGATCAGTTCTTCCTAGATCTGAGGATCATGTTTTTTTGTTGTTGTTTTAAGTGAAAAATCCTTTCTATTAGCCCAGCTTGTGCCTGTAATCCTAGCTACTCAGGAGACTGTGATCTAAGGCTTATGGTTCAAAGGTAGCCTGGGTAGGAAAGTTTGAGACTTTTACCTCCAATTAACCACCAGAAAACAAGAAGTGGATCTGTGGCTCAAAGTGGTAGAGTGCTAGCCTTGATCAAAAGAGCTCAGGGAGGAATTCAAGTCCCTCAACCAACAAAAAGAGAAAAAAGTAAAGTCCTTTCTTTGGATGGACTTTTTAAACTGTAATCTTTGGATGGACTTTTTAAACTGTGTAAGTTCACAGGAAATTTTTGTAGGGGCTGGGGATGTATCTCACGATTAGAATGTTTGTCTAGCATGTTCAAGGACTTGGATTCGATCCTCAGCATTATAGTAAATGTTTGTAGTCCATTTTCTAGAAGCAGGAGTATTATTTTTTGTAGTCCATGATATTAACTAGGCCTATAAACATGGTCAATTCACTTGACTTTCAGGTTTAAAGCAAAATTAACCAAGCTTTTCTTTGGATCTTTTCTTCAGGGGATGGTGAAGTTTATATTTGGGATGTGAACTCTAGGAGGTGCCTTAACAGATTTGTTGATGAAGGCAATTTATGTGCATTAAGCATTGCCACATCAAGGAATGGACAGTATATTGCTTGTGGGTGAGTAGAGGTTCATGACACCTAAATCATTGTGCCAGTGAGAAAGTTTGTGTATGAACAATTCTGGTAAACCCAGGTGAGCCTTTTGCTTTGTCTTGATGCAGCATTTAATATGTCTACTTATAAAAATTACATATTCATATAACTTAATTTATATTTTAATTTAATAATGCCATGTTAATAAATGTTTTCCAGATATTTAGCAAAGAAAATAATAAATTACCCTTAAATCATTGTGTATTTCCCTATATTTAAAATACCCATTTGGTCTCATCTTGTTTTCTTTCTATTTTCATTTTCTTGAGGAGGAGGTAGAATAAATCAACTTCAGATTTAAGGTTTTTTTTTTTTTTGCGGGGGGGGGGGGGCGGGGAGGGGGAGGGCAGTTCTGGGGCTTGAACTCAGAGCCTGGGTCTGTCCCTCAGCTTCTTTTGCCCAAGGCTAGTGCTCTACCATTTGAGCCATAGCACCTTTTCTGACTTTTTCTGAGTGGCTTATTGGAGATGAGTCTTAAGGACTTTCTTGCCCAGTTTGTCATAGAACATTGATTCTCAGATTTCAGCTTCCTGAGTAGTGAGGGATACAAGGATGAGCTACCAGTACCCAGTCAGATTTAAATCTTAAAGATAATTATAGCAATTTTAGCACTCTGGTAGTGGGATCTCCTTATGTTCTTGGGAAATAGCATTTTTTATTTTTGTAGATATTTAAAAAAATGATATAACTAAAATATTTTATTATTACTGAAGAAAGTGGTTATTACATTGGGAAAAAGATGGCTTTATTCTTTCCTAGTTGATTGAGAGAGGAGGTATTGGATACTTACTGTGGACTAGATCCTTAGCACTTTATACAAACATTTTTAGTCATAAGATGCATTACCAAACCACTGATTAGCATCTCTAAGTAGTATAGTAGTATTAGGAGCATGAAAAAAATTATAATGTGTCCTTTGTACATGTCTTGGTTGGGTTATACTTTTTATTGAACTCATGGTTTTGCACTTGGTAGGCAGAGATTTTCCCCACTTGAGCCAAGGCTCTAGCTCTTTTTTAGTTATTTTTATATATTTATTTTGTTGGTTGTGGAGCTTGAACTCTGGGCTTGGGCACTGTCCCAGAGCTTTTTTGCTTAAGACTAGTGTTCTACCACTTTGAGCCACAGTGCCACTTCCAGTTTTCTAGTGGTTAATTGGAATTGAGAGTTTCACAGACTTGCCAGGCTACCTTCAAACCACAATTTTAAGAATTCAGCCTCTTCTCAGTAGCTAGGATTACTAGGATTACATAGGTGCCTGGCTTTTAGTTATTTTTGATTAGGTTTATGTCTTGGCCAGCCTGGACCATATCTTCTATTTACATTTCCTACATAGCTGGGGTGATAGGTGTATGCTGCCATTCCAAGATGAGTCTTGCAAATGTTTTGCTTAGGCTGCCCTCAAACTGTGATCATTCTCTCTTATGTGTGTATCCACAGTGGCTAGGATTATGGACATAGGCCATTACATCTTGCTTCTGTGTATTTCAGCTTCAGCTCCTACCATAATCACTACATGCTGGTAGTTCCTTGTCCCAGTTCATAGGAGACATTGTTCTGGCTAATTAATGGCCATCTCCTGTTTGGGAAAATCTTTGTATACAGAACACCCTAGTTGTAACCTGTTGGTGGATTGTCTACCCTTGGTTCAGGAGTTATTTAAGAAGTAGTTATTTGGGCTGGGAATGTGGCTTAGTGGTAGAATGCTTGCCTAGCATGCATGAAGCCCTGGGTTTGATTGCTCAGTACCACATACACAGAAAAAGCCAGAAGAGGTGCTATGGCTCAAGTGGTAGAGTGCTAGCCTTCAGCAAAAGGAGCTCCTGGACAGCGCCAGGCCCTGAGTCCAAGCCCCAAGACTGGCAAAAATAAAAGAAAAAAAGTTACTTGAATCAAGTGAGAAAATGTATATGTATAAGTAATAGGAAAACTTTAAAGCATTAAGTAATTCTTAACGTTTTGTTTGTGTGTTGGCAATAGTTAGAGCCCCTAGAAAAGGGCTTGACTTGAGGGAGTGTGTTCAGTTCCTTTTGGCAGGTAAGGCCCCCTGGAGGACGTAGTAATGAGGCTCCCATCTTGGAAATACAGAGCAGCCCCCACTAGACTGACTGCTGGAGCCTTGATTTTTGGACTTTTATGTCTCTAAAATTATGTGTGAAATAAATTTCTATCACATATATATGATCTAGTTCAGATATTTTGTTATAGCAACAGTGGGCTAAGATAGTAAGATACTTTTAATTCAGTGTCTGAATTATGTGCCTTATTTATTTTTTTTGGTCGGTCGTGAGGCCTGAACTCTGGACTTGGGTGCTGTCCCTCAGCTCTTCAACTCAAGGTTAGCCCTCTACCACTTGAGCCACAGTGCCACTTCCAGTTTTTTCTGATTATGTGGTGCTGAGGAATCGAACCCACGGCCTTATGCATTTAAGGCAAGCACTCTACCACTGAGCCACCTTCCCAGCCCTGTGCCTTATTTTTTTAATGCTCATAACATTACATTGAGACAAAAAATGTTGATATAAAGTTCTTATATGTTACTGATTTTATAAGTGATTTACTAACATTATTAAATCACTAGGTAGGATTTGCTTTTACTATTCTTTGCTAGTAAACAGTTAAATAAACGGAGTAGATAATTTCTGTAACAGTTGGTTGTAGTATTCCTATTTTTACTGCTGTTCACCACTACTTTGCACATTCCTACAGGTACAGTAAAGGAAGGAGGAGCTGTCAATGGGGAAAGCCAGTTGCTTTTCACACATTAGGATGATAGGCAGTAAGCATTATAGACTGTGAGAATGGTGATCTTGATCTCTTTTGTTCAACATTGTGTCCTAAGCACTCAAAATACTGCCTGGCATAGAGTTGGCATTTAATAGATACTTATCAGGGGAATGAATATAATAGAGATTCTATGCTTTTTTTTTTTTTGTACTTTTTTTAATTTTAAAGGTGGGCATAAGCTGACAGAAGCTGAGTTATCTAAGAGCTCTGCAAGACTGGAGTGGAACTGATAAGAATTTGTTTTGCCATGAACCATCTAGTTGCTGGGTTCTCCTTAACATGCTATTTTTCCTAACACCAGTTTGTGGATTAACATTTGTGTTCACTTAGGTTGTGAGAGCCCTTTTACTTGTTTTAAAATACTTTTATTTCCTGTTGTCTTTGCAGTTCTAGTTCTGGAGTGGTAAACATATACAATCAAGATTCTTGTCTCCAAGAAACTAATCCAAAGCCAATAAAAGCTATAATGAATCTGGTTACTGGTGTTACTTCTCTGACCTTCAATCCCACTACAGAAATCTTGGCAATAGCCTCAAGAAAAATGAAAGAAGCTGTCAGATTGGTAATATTTCTTTACCCTTTATCATTGATAACTTCAAAATTTAAGCAAAAAAACATAATGAAGTCATAATAGTGACTTCAGAACAGTAGATTATTATTAGACGTGACTAGTCACTCTTGTAGAAATTAATAGTAGTGTAGTTTTTGGCACAATTAACCACCAGTTTTCTGTTTTCAGTTCTTTTTTTTTTTTTTGGCTGTTGTGTGGCCTGAACTCTGGGCCTGGACACTGTCCTTCAGCTCTCCAGTTCAAGGCTAGCGCTTGCACTTGAGCCACAGCATCACTTCTGTCTTTTTCTGCTTATGTGGTGCTGAGAAATTGAACCCAGGGCCTCATGCATGCAAGGCAAGCACTCTACCACTGAGCCACCTTCCTGTTTTCAGTTCTTTTGGGAAAGCTAAGCTGTCCATTCTCAACATTTCTTAAGTGGTAGTCCTCACTTTCAGAAATGTTTTTCAGCATATGTTAAAAAATTTACTTAGGAGGCAGGCGCTGGTGGCTCATGCCTATAGTCCTACCTACTTAGGAAGCTGAGATCTGAGGATCACAGTTCAAAGCCAGCCCAGGCAGGAACATCTGTGACACTCTTATCTCCAGTAAACCACCAGAAAACGGGAAGTGCCGCTGTGGCTCAAGTGGTAGAGTGCTATAGAGCACTAGCTTTGAGCTGAAGAGCTGAGGTACAGAGCTCAGGCCCAGAGTTCAAGCTCCGCAGTTAACAGAAAACAAACAAACATAGGGTAAACACCTCATTCCTCTACAGTTTTCTTTATCTATTTTTTTTTCTTTTGGTCCCAGGGCTTGAACTTGACCTTGCATTCTCATTTAGTTCGTGGCTGATACTCTACCACTCAAGCCATGCTTCCAACTCAGCTTTTTGCTGATTAACTAGAGATGGAGTCTCATGAATTTTTTTGCCTGGCCTGGCTTTGAACTGTGATACTTCTAAGTCTCAGCCTCCTGAATAAGTAGTATTGTTGGTGTAGGGTATCAGTATATGGCTTTTCTTTACCTGGTTTTTAAATGCCTGTTTTAATAGAGTGGAGGCAGTACTTAGATTTTGAAAATAAATTGAAACTCAAAATAACTTAACCTAAAATTACTTCAATTCGGATAACTAGACAGTGTTCTTAAATACCTGTGTCGGGAATCCTTAGGACCACCTCAGGTTTGTGAGTTACTGGAAAGACTCAGAACTGTGTATGGCCATATTCACTTGCTGAGAATTTATTAAAGCAAAAGAATGCAAGCAAAGTGACCAAAGGGAAGAGGTGTATGGGGTGAAGACTGGATGGAACTAGTGCAACCTACCAGGAATCACCTTTACTGTTCACATAGGACATGTTTGATTCCTCTGGACAGTGAATTATATTACACATTTACCTATGCTCATCTGAGATGTAATGCTCAAGATTTTTTTTGGGTTCTTGGCAGCACCCTGTGCCTAGTATAATACTTATCAAAATACATGTACCAGAATGCCAAGTGTTAGCATAAAAGTTGCATAGAAGTATTTACAACCCATGTTCCCAGACACTATCCAGGGGTCACACTTGTAAATAAGCCTTTGTGAGGATACCAGCTGTAGTGTTACATTAACTCCTTTTGGCCCAACACTGGAGCTCATTTTATGTCACTCTTACCTCTGTGAAGTTCTCTACTCATCAGAGTACCAGTTTCTTCATTTAGCAATTATTCTAGATAAACAGCATAGAATTTAGAATAGTGATACTATATAGTACTATTATGTTTGTATTATCAGTTTATGTTTTTCAAAGATAGTTATATTTATCTTGCTTACTCAACAAAAGCTTCACATACTTAAAAGTTTCATATTTTGTTTACTTAACCAAGAACTCTTTTTTAAAATTTTTTTTTTATTTTTTATTTTTGGGTCCGGTTGTGGGGCCTGAACTCTGGGCCTGGGCGCTGTCCCTCAGCTCTTCAGCTCAAGGCTAGCGCTCTACCACTTGAGCCCACAGTGCCACTTCCGACTTTTTTCTTTTTGCTTATGTGTTGCTGAGGAATCGAACCCAGGGCCTCAAGCATGCAAGGCAAGCGCTCTACCACTGAGCCACCTTCCCAGCCCCACCAAGAACTCTTTAGAACAGTTTTGAGTTGAATAACAGTTGTTTAGAGTATTAACTTTCCAAGCCCCAGTTAGTAAGGGACAGAATTATAATTCTGATTCTATACTCTTTGTTGCACTGCTGACAGAGTGTTTTTTTTTTTGGCAGTTAGTGTAAAGAGAAGCTGAAGCTTCTGCCTGTATTACATACATCATTGTCTATGGGATAGTGTCTATACTCTCTATGGGATATGTTGGGATTCTGTGTAAGATTTTCCTTAGAAAATACTCTGCTGGGGCTGGGAAGGTGGCTCAGTGGTAGAGTGCCCTGGGTTTAATTCCTCAGCACCACATAAGCAGAAAAAGCCAGAAGTGGTGCTGTGACTAAAGTAGTAGAGCGTTAACCTTGAGCTGCTAGAGCTGAGTGACAGGGCCAGGCTCAGAGTTCAGGCTCTACCACCGACAAAAAAGAAAAGTACTCCGCTGGGGAAAAAAGAATATGAAGAATAGAGCTTTTGTATTTTATTGCCTCCTTGTTCAGTGAGTCATTTGATAAATTAGAGGTTCTAATTTGAGGTAGCTTTTAAAATCTCTGTTTTTCTCCTGGCTCATACTAACCTTTTGTCAATTTAATGATAGTAAATAGTTTCAGAAAACCATGGGATCTATATCCTGTTGACATAATATATTCTGTAAGATGCACAATAGTTAGTTCTGCCTAGTTTGCTTCAGTAATCATGACAGCCTTTATGTTTTTTTTATTGTGGTAAAATCACACAAGGAATTCATTAGTAACAGCCAAATCACATTTTTAAAATGGTAGTCAACCATAATATCTAATGGAAAGAAGCCAGGCATAACAGCTTCAGAAAGCCTCAGTGAAACCATGTTGGTATCATTAAATGCAATTGCTTATAATGATCCAAACAGTTTTGTTATCCCAGCACAAAGCTGTGAATATAAAACAAAGCTGTTGCATCAGTAGGAAACTCAAATGAACACATCTACAATCTTGGGTGTAGTACAAAGTTGCAGAATTTCTTTTTTTGTTATTTTAAATTATACTTTAAGTAGTTGTACAAAGGAGTTACCATTCAGTTTATGGATACAATTCATCTTTATTCAATGTCACTCATTTCATCATTCTTCCTTTTCCCTTCTAACCACCGGAATTTCTTATTCAGTAAATCAGGGGTAAAATAACTTGTTAGGTTTTATCCATCCACAGATTGGATGAGGACTTACCTCACTCACTTATCTAGACACGGGTCCATTTTCCTTAGAAGTTGACCTTACTCCATCTCACACTTGGTCTAGGCTTTGCATGGAGCTTTTGGCTTTCTAAATCAGAATATAGTTTCAGTGGCTGAATCAGATTTTCATGATTCAACTCTCTGAGAAGAGATGGCAAAGGTAAAGGGGTTTATCAGATGTTGAAAATTATAAAAAGTCTTAAGATACTGGAAAATGGTGTGACCCCCCCCTTGGGCCTCAGTAAAATCAAATACGTCATAATGTAAAATGTCAATTCCTGTGATGAGATTTTAGAGTTTCCTCTTTTTTTTTTTTCCTTGTGCCAGTCTTGGGGCTTGAACTCTTGAACTCAGGGCCTAGGTTTTGTCCTGAATTTTTGCATGAGGCTATCCACTACCACTTGAGCCACAGCTCCACTTAGTTTTTTCTTAGTAGATTATTGGAGATAAGACTTTGCTGCCCTATGGGCTGGGAAGTGGCTCAGTGGTAGAGTGCTTGCCTTGCATGCATGAGGCCCTGGGTTTGATTACTCAGCATCAAATAAGCAGAAAAAGCCGGAAGTGATGCTGTGGCTCAAGTGGTAGAGCACTAGCCTTGAGCTGAAGAGCTGAGGGACAGCGCCCAGGCCCAGAGTTCAGGCCTCACAACTGACAAAAAAAAAAAAAAAAGACTTTGCTGCCCTGGCTAGTTTCTACCCATAATCTTCAAATTTCAGCCTTCTGAGTAGGTAGGATTATAGGTGTGAACACTAACGCTCAGTTTGATTCTAGTATTTACTATGAGCAGTAAGCCAGAACTTTAATGGGTACTGTCATTGATTTGCCACTTCAGCCTATTCATTCACTTATTGTTCAGCAAGTGTCTGAATCTCTAGGCACCATGCTAGATGCTGCATTTTCCCTCCTTCCTTCTTAATAGTATTTTAGAAATCAAATTTTAGTTTTGAAACACTTTGCTATACTCAGAGAACAACACTTCCATGTATATGCCACAATCGAAATGAATTTTTACATCCCAACAAAAAGATAAAATGAAAAATAAAATACAAAAAAAATGAGTCCCCACTTTTGTAACTTAAGGCTTTTTATGATCTGCAGGTTCATCTTCCTTCTTGTACAGTATTTTCTAACTTCCCAGTTGTTAAAAAGAAGACTATTTCTCGTGCCCAAACCATGGATTTTTCTCCCAGAAGTGGATATTTTGCTATAGGGAATGAGAAAGGCAAAGCCCTGATGTATAGGTAGGTATTATTTATGTTTAAAAGTCAGATATGTAGAAACTGCTTTTGAAATGTGAAGAGTTACTGTGTATTCTTGGTTTTTACAGTTTGTAGATTCCACAATTATGGAGCATTTACTAGCTGTGCTAGTAAGTGAACTAGGTTGACAACACATTTATTTAGTGTTGATGATTAGTATTTCCTAGATCATAATTTGATGCTTTGGAGTAGACTTAATAGTTTTGTCTATTATCTGAGGTATTATGATCCTCTACAATGTCAGACTGAGGAATCTGAACCCAGTTGCCTACTGAGAATGGTTAGTCATTAGAAATGCCCCCCCCCCTTTTTTTTATTGTGAAAATACCTTACAGAGGGGTTATAATTACATGAGCAAGGTAATGAGTACATTTCTTATCAAGCATTGTTGCCTCCTTTGTTTCCCCTTCCCGTCCCTTCCCATCCCCCACCCCTCATTGTTGCAGTGGATCCACCTGTATCCCTATTTAAACAATTTGTTTTTTTCCCTTCCCCTCCACAAACTACACCGACATCAAATACAGTGAAAACAGGGATTATACCGTGGGGGAGGAGAAATGCCACTTTCTACTTGCCATTCCATCATCAGATTGACGATACTTTGGGTGATTACAAAGCTTTTTTTTTTTTCCTCTTCAGGTTGCACCATTACTCGGACTTCTAAAAAGAGTCTTTGAAGTAAGAAAATTCTATTTTATAAATGCTACAGGTTGTAAGGTTACACAAGTGCTGTCCCTTGGCAGAGGTACACATTAGCTCAGCTTTGTTTCTCTGCTCCTAGGTTGCTGTATCCTCAGTTAGGGGAGTGGCGTGGAAATAGAGCAGGAGCTGTATAGCCGGACCTGAGCCTTCCTTGGGAATTTCTTACCCAAATCACAACAATCTGCCTCTGTTCTTTTGAGGTCAGATCTCTAATATTGTACTCAGTAATTGTCATCAAAATTGTAATTACTGAACATGTTTAATCCATAGAGGAGAATAGGCTTAGCAGAAATAGAAATCTACAGGCTTGCATGAGCTTAAGCCTCTTACTGTATAGATGTTTCCTGGGAGATTGATTACTGAGTGGCTTACATGTGAAGTAGGGCATGTGGATGGCTATTTGTTTTGTGGCCCAGTATTTAAAACATTGGGCGTGCTTCCCTTATGTCTGCATCTTTGACTTGATAATGGTAGACCTTTGCAGTTAGCCTGTTCACCATAGTTGTTTACTGGGTCTTAGTGGTTTCAGATTCATGAAGAATCTGAAGAAGAGACTGTAGGAGTGTGGATAGATTTAGTTAGAAAAAAGAATTCATACAGATGGGAGGAATTGTGAACAGTATAGTTGTTCACAGTTGTGAGGGGAAATAGTCCAGCAATTCTGTCTCAAAATTAGAATGTTAGGACATGTTTGTGATGACCAACAGCTATAAATCAGGTGTATAATTTCTTCTTTTTTTCCTCAGATCCAGTTGAGTCACTGAGGAAGCCTGTTCCAGTATAGCTCAGAAACTTTGCAGGATGCGTATGAAAGATGATTTGTGGGGCCAATTCTGCTTAAGTTATTAGCAATCATGTCTTAATAAACACAGCAAGTTTTGTTTGACAATAAGTACATGTTTTTTTTTTCCTCTTCCATCTATACACACACATATACACACCTACTCTACAACTTGGATGCATATCTTTTAAACTAAACAGGAGAAATTGGAGACAGTTATCTTTAACCCAAAATAATGTAGGCAGATAATTCTCATTCTTCCCAATTAACCCTGATTAATATTTTCCCTTCTGCACAGATCTCTAGATTTTAGGGTATTAACTAGTAGATATTCTGAATGGCTGCGAAGGTCATATGACTTCATGTGAGAATAGTAAGACCTCATGGAGTAAGTTTTAAGCTTTTAATTCTTCCTAGAGAGTTGTTATGGAAAAAAAAAGATTGATTCTCTAAAATTCTTGCCATTTTAACTAACGTGAAGGGACACATGAGAACCTGGTATTTGCCTGTTGTGGCTCAAATCTATTAGCTACTTGGAGATGGAAATAAGGGTAGATATTCTGACTGGGCACAGTAGTGCATGCCTGTTCCAGTGACAAATATGGGAAGCACAAGTGGGAGGATCACAGGCCAGGTTTGGCATAAAGAAAGATCTTACCTTGGAAATAACCAGGCAAAAGGTGGTTGAGGCTTTGTAAACAGAGGCCCTGAGTTTAGTCTCTAGGACCAAACAAAAACTTAGTGTTCTTTTTTTGTCCTACTAATTATTAGCCACTCATGCCAACTTAAAGGTTTCATTCCTTTTGGATTATAAAGTTAATCCCATAATTGTATTTTTTTTTTGTTGGTTGTGGGGCTTTGGCGCTATCCCTCAGCTCTTCAACTCAAGGTAAGCGCTCTACCACTTGAGCCACACTGCCACTTCCGGTTTTTTAGTGGTTTATTGGAGATAAAAGTCTCTCGGACTTTCCTGCCCAGGCTGGCTTTGAATCGTGATCCTCAGATCTCAGTCTCCTGAGTAGCTAGGATTACAGGTGTCCAGTTTGTATTTTTCTTGATGAGACCTGGTCCAGTGTAGTCCAGACTGGTCATACATTCAACAATATTCTCATATTAGCATCCCAAGTTCTGGTATTACAGACATGAACTGCCATGGCTTGTTCCCAGCATCTTTCTTGGAAGAACATTTTTTAATTAAGAAGGATGTTGCCCTTTTAATTGTGGAGGGTCTCTCACTATCTCTTACCTTTCAGCAACATGGTCCATAGTAAATGTTAACACTGAAAGTTGGAGTGCCTGGAACTAGTGTCTTACTAGTGCTGTTTCGCTCTTGGGTTGCTAGAGGGCAGCATTGGATTATGAGAGTGACTAAGGCAGGGCTGTAGCCTTTTGCTATGGCATTGGCTGTAGCTTCAGCTACATCATCCCTTGTTTTCAGCAATGGACAACAAGCCTGTGTGCTTGTTTTGCAAATAGTTTTCAGTTCCTAGGAGTCCTAATTTGTCTTTCTAGGGAAAACGATGGAAGCAGTGTATTAAATGAACTTTGTTAAAATTTTAAGTGGTTTTTTTAGTTGGTTGTAGGGGCTGAACTTGGCCTGGGTGCTGTCCCTCAGCTCTTCAGCTCAAGGGAAGCGCTCTACCACTTGAGCTACAGCGCCACTTCCGGTTTCCTGGTGGTTTATTGGAGATAGGAGTCTCACGGTCTCTCCTGCCCGGGCTGGCTTTGAACCGCGATCCTCAGATCTCAGCCTTCTGAGTAGCTAGGTTTACAGGCGTGAGCCACCAGCGCCCGGCTAACCTTTAACTCTTGTATACAGTTCCCTCTTTGCAGTTACTAGTATAGCATATGATAGCCCCAGAACTGGCACAAAAAAAGCAGAGGAAAGACAGAAAAACTGAGTTTGTACATTCAATCTTACTATAGTCATGTAGACCAGTGGTTCGCAGAGTAAGAAGAATACATCTTCTTAACTTTTTTATTGGTCAAGGGGCTTGAAATTGGCCTAGATGTTTTCCCTGAGCTTTTTGTTCAAGGCTAGTGCACTACCACTGTTAGCCACAGTTCCACTTCCAGGTTTTAGGTGGTTAATTGTAGATAAAAGTCTTCAGGTATTTACTTCTGGGCTTCCAATTTTGATCCTCAGATCTCAGTTACAGGCCACCAGTGCCCTGCAGGTGGGAATACATATCCCTGTATGTATATGTCTTCACTGCAAAAAGAATTTTGCTTTTGGAGGGTACAGAGCTCCAGGGAAAAAGGACAAAAATATGCACCAGTGGAGCTCACTTGGACACTGATGAAAGTGAACATACAATTTATGGGTGGAGACAGGAGGGAGGGACTAGGCAAAGGTATTAAAAAAGGTATTTAGGCTGGGAAGATGGCTCAGTGGTAGAGCGCTTGCCTTGCATGCCTGAGGCCCTGGGTTCGATTCCTCAGCACCAATAAGCAAAAAGAAAAAAGCCGGAAGTGGCGCTGTGGCTCATGTGGTAGAGTGCTAGCCTTGAGCTGAAGAGCTGAGGGACAGCGCCCAGGCCCAGAGTTCAGGCCCCACAACCGGACCCAAAAATAAAAAAAAAAAAAAGGTATTTAAAGATATTTAAAAAGCTTAGAAAATTTGATTTGATTACCAGAAAAAAAAATAAGTATAAGCTGAGTACTGGTGGCTCAAGCCTGTAATCCTAGCTACTCAGGAGGCTGAGATCTGAATATCATGATTCAAAGTCAGCCCAGGCAGCAAAGTCCATGAGACTTTTATCTCCAATTAAGCATACACATATACAAAAAAGCCACAAGTAGAACTATGGTTCAAGTGGCAGAGTGCTAGCCTTGAGCAAAAAAATTTCAGGGACAGTGCCCTGGTCTTGAGTTTAAGCCCCAGGATCAGCACACAGGCAAAAAAAAAAAAAAAGTATAGGGTCATTTGCTAATAGCACATTGTCTGAATTGTGAATTCAAATCCTTGATTCAATATACGGGAGTTTTGTTCTACCTTTTCACGTGAGAAGCTGTTTTAGAAATACAGTGTGAATGTGGAAATGATGAATCCTGTGAGGTGTTTTTGATAAACTTTATACACATAGCAGGTCAGAATAGTTAGAACTGAGATTGTTTTAGGGGTTAAGTTATAAAGACCTTAAGAGAGAACATTGAGAGGGACTATAGGTAGCTGGAGGCAAAATTCAAGTCAGTTTTTAAAATAGATGAGTTGAAAATAAACCATAAAATTTGGAGTCAGCCAGAGCCAGCAAATGCATTTTCTCATTGACAGCTAAAGAGAGATAAAATTTCCTCATTGTAGGACCTGCCTCTTCAGTAAGCTGCTGTGGACTCTGCATGGGGAAAATGAACTAAATTTCCCAGAAGGTGCAATAAAATTATTTACTGTTATTTTTATTTGCCCAGTGTTCTCCCTCCATCCTGTGCTTCCAGTATAAGGTCTTCCTCTTGTTTGCCCTTTGGGTTTTCAGATTGTCCATCCACCACCAGTGTACCCACCCATCTAGCCACCTGTTCACCCACCTGTCCTCTTCAGTGAATGTTAAATAAGCACCTCTCTATGCCAGGCACTGCGCCTCATCCTAAGCAGTCACTTACCTTAGGTTCAGCAAACTTGGCCACTACCAAGGGGACAGAACGCTTCGGGAAGCTGGCCTAGACTGAAGGGTTCTGACAGGTGTCCTGAGGAAACTGTGTTCATGTGAATTTGGAAGAATGAGCTGGAGTTGGCTAGGAAATGAAGGATTGTTTGTTCCATTTCTTCCAAAAGCTGTTCTGTATTCAGATCTGTGGACTTCTTCTTCTCCTTCTCCTCCTCCTTCTCCTCCTCCTTCTCCTCCTCCTCCTCCTCCTCCTCCTCCTCCTCCTCCTCCTCCTCCTCCTCCTCCTCCTCCTCCTCTTCTTCTTCTTCTTCTTCATCCCCCCCCCACTCCTTCTCCTCCTCCTTTTTGTTGTCAGTCAGGGGGCTTGAACTCAGGGCCTGGGTCCTGTCTCTTAGCTGTTCTGCCCAAGGCTATGAGCCATGGCTCTACTTCCAGTTTTCTGGTGGTTAATTGGAGAAAAGATTTGCTGACTGAACTGGCTTTGAACTGCCATTCTCAGATTTCAGCCTCCTGAGACAGGATTACAGGTGTGAGCCACCAGTGCTTGGCTTTTTCTCTCTCTCGTTCTCCTTCCCCTCTTTCTTTCTGGCTCTGTCTCTCTATCTTTGTCTCTGTTTTCTCTCCCTTCCCTCCGAGTCTCAGTTTCTTCCAAGGCAGAACAGAAGCAACACTGGAGGCTATTTGAGAGAGCTGCTGGAGAATTCAGGGTGCTAAAGTACGTAAAGCAAGAGGCCCACTGCCTGGCACATAGCAAGCTCTAGTGGACACCAGCTGTTACTATTTGCTCCTCTGATCCTTACTGCAGCCTTGGGAGGTAGAAGGGCAGGTGCTATTAGCCCTTTTATACCTCTGGGAAGGCTGTTTTTCAGAAATGTTAAATGACTTGATCTGAGGTCACAAAGCCAGTAAATGGCAGTCAGGACCTCAGGTGGCCTGACTTTGGGTCCACTGCTCCTTCCCCCTGTCACGGTGGCCTCTGAAATGAATGATATTTCCCTTGGGGAACTGTGCCTGACTGACTCTCATGTCTGTGAATTCTCTCTCCTTCCAGTTTCAACTCCCTTTGTCAGAATTCTGCCCAGTCTCAGCTTCCAGAAATGTGTTGCTTAAGGCCAGGCCTCCCAGATTGCTTTCGGGGGTGGGGGTGGAGTGGGGGAGCCCTAGTGTGCTTATAAGACTGATGGGTTCCTGTCATTCGGGGATTGTCCCAATTTTAGCTTGGAATTAATTTAGTAATCTACAGAGTGGACCAAACTCTGAGTCTCTCTAATTTGAAATAAAACCTACCATGCATTTATTTGAAAATTGCAGTAATGATGTAAGTATATGAAATATATCGTATTGAATGTATACAATACTACTGAAAAGATACTAATGAGTTTTTACACTATTGCACTCTGAACAAAAGGTAACTTCTCATGCAAGGCCCTTGGGCTTCTTGCTTTTGTATATTGCCTAAAACATTTCATCTTGCTCAACAAGAACACTGAGTTTCATTCTCTTTGC